GCTATACGCGCCGGTCCTCCAGGCACAGCAGGCGTGGCACCCCCTTGACACCAGAGGGGGTGCGCAGGGGGTGGTCCCTGAGCGCGGCCGCTATGCACGACGGTCGTCCAGGCACAGCAGGCGTGGCACTTTATCGACACCAGAGGGGGGCGCAGGAGGTGGTCCCTGAGCTCGGCCGCTATGCACGATGGTCCTCCTCCCTTCTCTCCTCTTCTTCCTCCTCCTCCTTGCCCTCTACCTCCTCTCCAGGAGGCCGACCTGGCTTGTCCGTGCTCGGCCGCCTTAGGTGTCTCGTGCTCGACCGACCTGACTTGTTCGACCGCCTTAGGTGTGGCGTGCTGGATCGATCTGACTTGTTCGACCGCCGTAGGTGTCTCGTGCTGGACCGACTTGACTTGTCCGACCGTTGGACAGCTCCGCTCTCGTGCTCGACCGCTTTGGGTGTCCCGTGCTCGCCCGCCATAGGTGTCTCGTGCTCGGCCGCCTTCCGTGTCTCGTGCTCAACCGCCCTAGGTGTTCCGTCGGCGGGAGGGTGGCCGCCGACGGGGAGTGCAGGGCGGCCCCCCTCTGCCGAGCGGGGCCGTAGCTAGGTGGGGAACAGCTTTCTCCAGCGTAAGTACCGTTCGGGACGTCATTGAGGAGGAACAGGAGGAGGAGGAGGAGGAGGAGGAGGAGGAGGAGGAGGAGAGGGATCTGAACCCTCCAAGCGGCATCGTGTACCCTCTGCCGCGCCCTGCACGGACGACTTGGCGCATGCATGCCCAGCTCGCGGCTGGCGTGCGCCTGGCTGCATTGCACGTGGGCTATGTGCATCCTCCCGCGCCTGTATGTCGCTTGCCTTCAACCCTTTTTTCGGCGGAGCTGCAGGCGCTGCGTTTTCCAGAGTGCCGCCACGCCTGGCCTGTATCAAGTAAGCTGGAGTCAGCACCCTGGCTCTCGGCGGGGGGGAGGGACAAGGAAGAGAGTGAGTGACGACGGTCGCGAAGCGAATTCGGTGGTTTACGAAGCCCGACGAGCCAACTCTGCTCGGCTGCGGACCCTAGGCCAGCGCCCTGCGAGAATATTGCTGAGACATGTGGCTCGATTGGGGCTCGTGGCCCCCTGACACGGCTGCCCGAGACCTCTCAAACACTGGCTGGCGAAATGCCGTCAGGCCTGGCTTTTATCAAGTAAATTGGAGTCAGCACCCTGGCTCTCGGCTTTGGAGGCGGCAATTTGCCTCCTCCAAAGGCATATACTAAGCAGCAAAACTTTCAGGATCTGTGGCACAGCGTCTGGGGCATATTGTGGAAAGCATGGCTGCCAAGATAGTGCGGTTTCCCGGAGTGCGGTTCGCTGCAGCATGCCACGCGCGCTGCTTTCCCACATGGATTTGGCATCGTGCCCGTCTAGGCACGTCTGCCTCTGATCGCCACAGAGCGTCGTCCGCATCCAAAGACCAGAGATTTTCCATCGAAGGTCTTTAGGGTTTATAGAATGCGCTGTCGCCCAGAGATTTTCCATCGAAGGGCGCGAGACCAGAGAGCTGCCATCGCAGGAAAGGGGGCAGGAGCCGGGGCAGCAGCAGGAGTCCCTCCCTCCTCCCCTCCCTCCCCTCCTTCCCTTCCCCATGGGCCCTCCCAGGAGCAGTATAGAAGAAAATGGAGAAGAAGAATAGAGACGAAGAAATGGTGGCGGAAGGCAGGGCGAGAAAGGTCGTTGTCGTCGGTCCGCAGGAGCTCTGGCCGGTCCTCCCGGCCCCCGCCCCCGCCCCCTGCCGCGCCCGCCCCGTCCGGGGCCCGAGGGGGCACTGCGCCGCCGGAGGTCTGGCCATGTCTGGCGGCGACGACGACGACGACGGCGACGCACTTCGAGTTTCGAGGAGGTTTTTCGCTTCTTTCGGTGTCTGGAGGCACGTTCAAAGCCCGGGGGCCGTCGGGAATCACTGCCGTGCCATGCCTTTCGTCGGCGCCGCGCCGCGCCGCGCCGTGCGCGGCCGTGCAGGAGTTGCGAGGAGGAGGAGTTGAAAGGAGTGCGGAGGAGTTGCGAGGAGGAGGATTTGAGAGGGGTGCGGAGGCGTTCAGAGGAGCGCGGAGGAGTTGAGAGGAGTGCGGAGGAGTGCAGAAGGAGGAGTACAGAAGGAAATGAGAGGATGAGTTGAGAGGAGTGCGGGGGAGTTGAGGGAAGTGCGGAGGAATTGAGAGGAGTGCGGAGGAGGTGACAGGATGGGGTGGGACGAGGAGGAGGAGGAGGACGACGAGGAGGAGGAGGAGGAGGAGGAGGACGACGACGACCACGAGTGCGGCGACGAACACAACGAGCACTACCAACACAACGAGTACGACGACGTCGAGTGCGACGACGACGAGTGCGACGACGAGTGCGACGAGCACGACGACGAATTCGAATACGAGTACGACGGCGAGGTACGACGACGAGTACGATGACGAGTAAGACGATAGAGCGGCAACGAGTACGACGACGAGTACGACGAGTACGACAACGAGTACGACAAGTACGACGACGATTCGCGACGAGGGTTTAGAACGCAGCATTGCGCATATATGATAATGACAAGCAAATACATAAGATTAGACATCAGTATGTGGGGTTTCTCGGTAGCGTAATTTTCGCACGTTCGCCTCTTGGGCTGTCACCGCGTCCAAGACGGCCCAAGAGGCGCCCAAGACGGTCTACGAGGCCTCCGGGAGCGCTCCAAGGCTGCGCACGAGTGGCCCAGGACGGCCCCAAGACGGCCGAAGAGAGCCCCAAAACGACTTCGAGAGGGGTCCCAGACGGAGAAAGCCAACCTCGAATTCCGAGCTTCCGGCCCAAGAGGCTCCAGGAGGCGCCAAAATGCCGCCAAGAGGCGCCAAAAGGCTCCCAAAAGCACCCCAAGACGTTCCGAGAGGCACCCCAAGAGAGGTCCAAGAAACAAAAGTCGTGCCATTCCTATGGGAAAACGTATATTTTTCGCATGTTCGCATCTTGGGCTTTCACCGCGTCCAAGACGGCCCAAGAGGCCTCCAAGACGGCCTAGGAGGCCTCCGGGAGCGCTCCAAGGCTGCGCACGAGTGGCTCAGGACGGCCCCAAGACGGCCCAAGAGAACCCCAAGACGACTTCGAGAGGGGTCCCAGAAGGAGAAAACCACTCTCGAATTCCGAGCTTCCGGCCCAACATATCCCAGGAGGCGCCAAAACGCCGCCCAGAGGCGCCAAAAGGCTTCCAAAATCAGCCCAAGACGTTCCGAGAGGCACCCCAAGAGAGGTCCAAGAAACAAAAATCGTGCCATTCCCATGGGAAAACGTATATTTTTCGCATGTTCGCATCTTGGGCTTTCACCGCGTCCAAGACGGCCCAAGAGGCCTCCAAGACCGCCCCAAGACGGCCCAAGAAGCTTCCAAGAGGGCCCCAGGACAGCCCAAGAGGGCCCCAAGACGGCCCAAGAGGCGCCCAAGATGGCCCAAGAGGGCCCCAAGACGGGCCCAAGAGGGGGCCCAGAGGGGGACCACGAACCGCAAGCTCGAGCCTTCCGCCCCAAGAGGCCGCCAGGAGGCCCCAAGGAGGCCCCTCAAGAGGCCCCAGGAGACCCCCAAGAGGCCCAAAGGAGGCCCCGAGAAGCCCCAAATCGGCCCCCAAAATGCTTCGAACCTGCTTCCAGGAGGCCCCCGACAGGTTCAGAGGCTCCCGAGAAGCTACGTCAAACTCCCAGCGAGCGGCCGGACGAGGCCCCCCACAAAATCACAAGAGGGTTCCAGTATTTGTATCCTTCAGCGCTCTCTGGCCTTCTTCCCCCTGCCCCCTTCCCTGCGACTTTCGTTGACTCAAGCTCGCCTCCTAGCTAGAACCTAAGCGCGCGCGAAGCGCGCGCGTGGTTCTAGTATCATTTATAGATATATGTATGCGCGTGTGTGTGTGTTGTGTGTTGTGTGCATTTCTGTGTGCGTGTGTGCGCGTATGCGCGTGTGTGCGTGCGTGTTGTACGTATGTGTGTATGTGTGTGGTTGTGTGTGATTGTGCGATTGTGCGATTGTGTGCTGCGTGGTCCCTCCTGCCTGCCACCACGTGCCGCCTATGCCCGGGTGGCCGATGTTGGCAGAGTTACTTCCAGAGCGGTGCTGAGGGCCCGGCCGCGGCGCGCATGTTGTTGCCTGTTGCGTGTTCTCCGCCTCGTCGCTGCGCGCGTGGCCGCTATCGCCAAAACATGTGTGCGGATGTGTGTGTGTGTGTGTGTGCGTGTGTGTGTGTGTGTGTGTGTGCGCTTATGTGTGTTGTGTGTTGTGTGTGCTTGTGTGTGTCCGACCTTTTTCCCCACCCCGAACACTGCGCGCGGGGCTACGATCGCCAAAAGTGTGTTTGTGTGTGTATGTGTTTGCGTGCGTGTGCTTGATGGTGTGAATGTGTGATTGTGTGAGTGAGCGTGTGGTTGTGTGAGCGTTGAGTGAGTGAGTGCTTGATTGCGTGTGGGAGTGCGTGGGTGCGTGATTGTGTGAGTGTGTGATTGTGTGATTGTGTGTGTGTGTGCGCGTGCGCGTGGTGGCTTGAGATGTAACGCGCAGGAGGATGACAAGCAGGGGAAGCATGGGGCGTGGAAGGAGAAGAGAGGAGAGGAAGGAACGATGAAGAGGAAGACGAGGTGGACGAACGGGAGAGGCACAGGAGGCGGCGGGGGGAGAGCCTGCTGCAGGAGGAAGAGGAGAGTTGCATTGCGTGGTCCCTGCTCGTCGACGGGAGGACTTCTGCACACTCGTCCCGTCGCCCTGGCCGTGAAAACGCTGCCGCCACGCCTGCTTCTTCCTGTCGTTGTGGCAGGCCGCTGGTGAGCCTCGCCGCCAGCACGCACCCGCGCCGTCCTCCGTCGGGCCACGCGGGGGATGATGGGCCTGTGTTCCACCACCACCACCACCACAGAGTTGGAGGGGGAGGGGGCCCTCCTCCTCCTCCTCCTCCTCCTCCTCCTCCTTCCCCCCTCCGACTTGTGGTGGTGGTGCTGGTGGAAAACGGGCCCATCAATGGGGAGGCACGGAGCGCGGAGCCCTCGCGTGCGTCGACATCGAGGTGGTGCTTGGCGCCGCCAGGCGCCAGCAGGAGGAGATCCAGGCCAAGATGGAATCAGGCCCGGCCCGCGCGCAAGAGGGCGTGAAGAGCACGATCCCGGGTGGACTGGACATAAGAGTGACCTTTCGCCGGAGTGACCTTTGGTGCGGGCACAGATGGGCCCCCAGATCGCAAAACGCGAAGCGGTAGCAGAGGCTAGCGCGCCTGGATTTGGCCTCTCCGCGGCCTCCCCCAAAGACGCGCACCAAAGGGCACTCTTTCCCAGGGTCACTCTTGCGTGTAGCCGACCGGGGTGGACTGCGGCGGCGGGGCTCGCAGGCAGGGGCGATGCGGAGCGCATCGCGCCCAGGGACCAAGAGAGAGAGAGATAGGAAGGGAGAAAGAGAAAGAGAGAAAGCAAAAAAGGAGAGAGAGAGAGAGAGGGTGGTGGATATTTGTATTCGCATGCTCATGCATGGATCAGCCTATCTATGACGTGTATGTGTGTATATATGTATCTATATATGTGTGTGTGCGTCTGTATGCATATGATGAGATGGAGGGCGCAACGTGTCATACGTTGGCGTCGCGCAAGTTTCGAAATATCCCGTGCTTCGCGATACTTCTCGCTTGCAAATTGACGATGCGTCAGTAGGCAAGCTGCAGTCTACGGAGCGGCCATGTACTCGCCCGACATGCGTAGTGGGTTTACGGGCGCATTCATGTCCGCCTGGCAGAGCGCAGCGCTGTCTACAAATTAGATTCGGCTCTCCCGACATGCCTATCGGCGCTACTGGCTGTAGGGCACATCGTACTCCTCGGTGCCATGTGTTCGTGGACTCTTGGCTCAACGTGGCAGAGCGAGACGTCTCTCATTCATGTTCCGACCTGCGACCTTATGTTGCAAGCGCTCGATGTGCCTCTCCACAAGGTTCTGCACAGTCTGCAGCGAGCCAGTGCAGTGAAGATAGATTTGCATCGCGTGTGGCTGAAAGAAGCCGGTAGCGAACCCAGCCTGTATATTAGCCTGGCCAGTGTGACATGCAATATTTCACTGGGCCAAAGAAGACGAAAGTAACAGTTCTCTCTGCTGCCTTCCCCCAGCATCCAGTTTCGACCGCGGTGGAAATATCCGACTGCCTGCGGCAAGCCTTGCCACCGTGCTAGCGCAGCAGCGCAGCAGGAAGGAAGTATAGTGCAAGACCCGATCACGGTCGGCATTGTTTGAGCCCGCACGGTCCTTGAACACCCCTTTGTGGCCGCAGCCTATTCCTCCTATTCCTATTCCTCCATATTCGTCTTATTCCTATTCCTCCTCCTATTCCTATTCCTATTCCTTCTTTTTCCTATTCCTACTCCTTCTTATTCCTATTCCTATTCCTCCTCCTATTCCTAGCCGAACACGTCTTCGTCTTCTCCTATCCCTCCTCTTCCGTCTGCGAGCGCGCGCCTTGTCTCGGCACCTGAGGCGCTGGCAGCTCGCATCAGACAACGCGAGAAGGGAAGGCCGCAGCAGCAACACTATCAGTTTTGACGATCGAGCTGTCTTGCTTGATCCCCCCATCAACATGCAACTTCGACGGCGGCTCAAGTGTCCGGCTGCCCACAGTAAAAAAACGCCACCGTGCCCGCGCAGTAGCGCAGCGGCTTGGTGCTCTTTGCGGGCCTCGCTAGGTCCCTCGGGGGAGTCTCCCGGCTCCCCCACAGAACGCACTGCTGCAAACAGTGGCGCTATGCAGAGGTCCAGAGCCAGACCCTCCCTCCCCCTTCCGCCCAATGTCGAAACGCCGAATGAGAAAACGCTCACATGTTGCAGCGCGCGTGCTGTTGCCTGTCGTGCCGCGTGCTTTCTTGCGCGATGCGTCGCCGGGGGCGCCCGAAGTAGGCTCGGCGGAGCCATCCATGGGACGTCTGGGCTGGGCTTGCGGCACTGCGGTGCACTACGCGTCTGGAGGGCGATACACAGAGAAAGAGAGAGAGAGAGAACACACAACAAATGAAAAACAAGTCAGAGAGAGAGAGAGGGAAGGAGACTCGAGCATGATGGTGGTTGTTCATCCGCGCTCCCTAGACCTTCCTGCCTTGCCGTGCGAAGCGCACCTTGCGGGCCTCGCGCAGCCAGTGGGGCCGCGCTCGCGCAGGTGCCGCTCTGCCCGCGTCGCCTGGCGTGTCCGACGTTTCCCTGTGGGTGCAGCCCGTGGGTGCCAGAATGTCCTCGGAGGGAGGAGGGAGGGGGGAGGAGGGAGGAGGGAGGAGACGACGACGACGACGACGACGACGACGACGACGACGACATCCTGCTCGTGCTCGCCCGTGGCGCCAGGCCCATCCTGCCCGATGGCCTGCCCTCCCGCTCACCGGTCCAGTGCCCGCCTCGTCTTCCCACGCCTTCCGCCCGTGCCCCTCGACTGTGCCCCCCCCCGCCCTGGCAGTGGCCCCCCCCCTCGCCACGAGTGCCCTCCCCCTCCCCCCCCCTGCCCTGCGGGCCCCTGCCCGCCCCGAGCCGCAGCATCTGCACATAGTCACATGTTCCTGCTCCTCCTCCTCCTCGTCCTCGTCCTTCTCGCGCCTCTCGCCCTCCTCTCCTATCCTCCCTCCACGGCCTCCTCCCTCCTTGGCCTCCCTCCTCGACCCCCCTCCTCGTCCCTCCTTCGCCTCCCTCCTCCCCCCCCCCCTCTCCTCCCCCCCGCTCTCCCCCCTCCTCGTCCCTCCTCCACCTCCTCCTTTCTCGCATCTCTCTTCTCCCCCCTCGTCGCGTCGGGGAGCTCTTGAGAGATCCGCCCTCCAGGGAGCCTCCAGAGTCCGAGGCCTGCCCTCCGCCGGGCAGCCGGCCACCACCGCTATAGCTGGGGCCCGCGCCGGGCCACAGCTCTGCCCAGCTGCGGAGCTGAGCCAGCTCCGATCGCGGGTCGAATCCCATCTCGGAAGCTGGAGCATCTCCTCCTCCTCCTCCTCCTCCTCCTCCTCCTCCTCCTCCTCCTCCTCCTCTAGTGGCGGGCTCTCTTTCAGTCCCAGGACTTTTTGAGGGTCGGGGACGACGTCGGGGTGTTGTGGTGCATACGTGTTCCCTGTTTCTCCAGGGAAACAACGAACAATGCATACACCAGGATCCCGTATACACCAGGATCCGCCTTCCTGTGCGAGTTTCAGTGCAGGGCCCGAAAAAGCGTCGGTGTATAGAGTTCGGTTCCCTACAATCCCTCCACTAGGATGCCACTCCTGGGGGGGTTCCATTCTGTGTCGGCGCTGGTATGCTCGCAGTCGGTAGCCCGCTGAATCTCGACCAATCTGGCTGAATCCCGCTAGATCCGGCTTACTCTGGCTTAATCCCGGGCTGAATCTGGCCTCATCCGGTGACGTGGACCGTTCATCGAGCTTCATCGGCCCTAATCGTCCCAACGAAGACCTCCCAGGAGTTGGCTCCTGACCTCCTCGTCGCTCTTCCCAGTTTCTGCCTTTCCCTCTCGCCCTTCGCGCCCCCTTCTGCCGAGCTCCGCCGCCCTCTTGAGCGCTGCCTCCCCGCGCTCCCCCGTGCCCACGCCCCCCCGAGCGGGCAGATCATCAGTGGCCACACGAGGGAGCCAACCCCCCCTGCCCAGCCCAAATTCTAGCCCCTCGCCCTGCGCCACCTCCAGACCCAGGGAGGAGCAGGAGGAGGAGGAGGAGAAAGAGGAGGAAGAGGAGGAGGAGAAAGAGGAGGAGGAGGAGGAGGAGGAGGAGGAGGAGGAGGAGGAGGAGGAGGACTTGTTCCCCCCTCTCTCGCCCTGTCCGGCGCCCAGGGAGAGAGGTGACCCTCCCGCAAGAGGGAGGAGGAGGCTGGAGGATCCAGCCCTATAAGAAACCTACGCCCACAGGGCTGCTGGGATCTCCCCTCGTATCCTCTCCAGCTCTGCTGAACTCTCCGTCGGGCGTGTCCCTCTACAGGGGGAATGTTTAAGCATAGTCCAAAAAAGAGTCTGGGCACGACTGTTCGACCATTTTTGACTGTTCGTGTTGTATTGTTTGGGGTCTGTTTTATTTTTCGCCCGAAATCCGCCTGTAGGGGGGCATGCCCGACCTACGCTTATCTCCCTGACCTTGTGCATCATTCCGCTGGTTCTCACTCGGTCGTCTCGCACCCTTCATCCCTCCCGCCTCCCCCGCAGACGCTGCCGCCGTGATCTCCAAGAAGGTCTTCTCCACCATGCCCAAGCCGCACGACGACCCGGAGTACGTGTTCCCGCTGCCCAACAAGTGGTTTGTCCAGCGTGCCCACCGAGGCTGTCACTGCGCACGCGCAGAGCCAGATAATTCGAGGATGTTTTTTGTTGGGCTTCCAATCCGGGCAGGTTTGGTTGATTTCGGCACCTGGGCCATTCTCGGGCCCCAGAGCCACCAAAAATGGGCCCTGGACGTGACACTGCTCCCGGAGAACGGGTCGGGACTGAGGGGCCGCGGCTTGGCGAAGCACATCGGGGGGTGTTCTCGGGAGGGGGAAGGAGTCCCAGTGACGCCGCACCGTCGCGAGCCCGTCAGCGTGTTGTCCCTCCGCTGTTGGCCAGAGGCCCGGTGCTTCGGCCACGGTGTCGCGCTGGCTGCTTCTCCGGCGGCGGCATGTCATCGAGACAGTTTCTGCTCCCCCCGATTGGCCTGAAGTCGGGCCTGTCCCCCTACAAGGGGATTTTCAATGCAAAATATAAAAGTACCCCCAAAATAATCCAAACATAGTCCAGAAATAGTCTGGGGACTAGTTTTTTAGCAGTTGTTGACCTTTTTGGGGTATTTTTGGGGTACTTTGAATTTTCGTCGAAAATCTCCCTGTAGGGGGACACGCCCGACATAAGATTGGCCGCAGAGAGGCTGCGGCATGCGAGGGTACCCAGCCGCTGGTGGCAAGTCCCGCCACATGTGGCGGCCTGGCAATCTGGGCGGCGCCCGGCCGCAGTATCGCGCAGGGCGCTGCAGATGTGCACCGCCCGTGTCCCGGCGCCGGGGGCCAGCCGCAGCATGTGGCATGCCCCTCCGCGTCGTGTCGGAGTCTCTCTCCTCGTGTTCGTCGTCGTTTGCCTGCCTTCCTCTTATTCTTAAGCCGGGCCTGTCCCCCTACAGGGGGATTTTCGACGAACAACAAAAAAACATACCCCAAAAATAGTCAAACAAGAATCCAAAAATAGTCTGGGGACTATTTGTTAAGTATGTTTTTACCTTTTTAGGGTATTTGTCTGGTATGTTTTATTTTTCGTCGAAAATCCCCCTGTAGGGGGACATGCCCGACATAATCTTATTCCCTCCTCCTCTCCTGGGGCCTCTTCGGGGCATCTGGGCGGCCTCTTGGAGGCGCCTTGTTGGCCTCCTGTCGACGCTCCTCGGGTCGTCTCGGGGCGCTTTTCGGCAGTCTGGCGGTTTAGGAGTCCGTCTCTGGGGCAGCTCTTGGCCGTCTTTGGGCCCTAATCGAATGTCTTGGGGATCTATTGGCCGTATTAGGGCCTATTTGGGTCGTCTTGGGACCGTCTTGGAGGCTTACTCGGCCAGCTTGACAGCCACGTGGGGCCCTCTCGGGGGCCTCTTCATCCGTCTGGGGGGCCATCTTGGAGGCTGTCTTGGGCAGACGGAAGCCCGCAAAGGCGAGAACGCGATAATTATTCAAACGCTGCAACTCAGTGAGTGCTGCTTCTTCGGGTCCGACTGGGTGGTCCTCTTGGAGCACGACTTGGGCGTAGCTGGGGCCTCTGGGGCCGTCTTGGAGCCCTCTGTGGATGGATGCCCAGACACCACCCGACGTCACAATTTGTCTTGCCACGTCGACCACCAGAGGTCTCGTCCCCTGTCCGGGGACTGGCTTCTCGTCCCGAGCCGTTCTCTGATGGCCCCGAGGCCCCGCAAGTGCCCCCAGAGGCCGACAGTAACGATGAACTTGCCGCCATGATATGTTTTCATTGCCCGCGGTGACCCTCGGTGACCTGCCCTCGGCGGCCCTCGCGAGGTCGTCCCCTCCTCCTCCTTCTCCTCCTCCTCCTTCTGCTCCTCCCTCTCCTCCTCCTCCTCCTCCTCCTCCTCCTCCTCCTCCTCTCCTCCTCCTCCTCCTCCTCCTCCTCTCCTCCTCTCTCTCCTCCTCCTCCTCCTCCTCCTCCTCCTCCTCCTCCTCCTCCTCCTCCTCCTCCTCCTCCCCCTCCTCTCCCTCCTCCCCTTGGGGGTCTGCCCTCGGTGGCCTGCCCTTGCCGTCCTTGGTGTGCCCCTGGCGGCCCGGTCGGAGGCCTCGCCGTGGCTCTGGCGGCCTGCCGGGGCCGTTTCGAAGGCCGTCTCGGGCACTTCTGGGCGCGCCCCAGGGAGCCGTCGGGGGGCCCAGGGCGTGGTGCGTGCGCGTGACCTGTGGGGAGGGGGAGGAGGAGGAGGAGGAGGAGGAGGAGGAGGAGGAGGAGGAGGAGGAGGAGGAGGAGGAGGAGGAGGAGGAGGAGAGGAGAGGTCGGCCACGCGCAGAGGGGGGTTGGGTCGACTAGACGTAAGAGTGACCCTTCGCCAGAGTGACCTCTGGTGCGGGCACACTGGGGTCCCCCGATCGCGGAACGCGATGCGGTAGCAGCGGCTTGCGCGCCTGTGTTTGGTCACCCCGCGGCCTCCAAAAAAGGCGCGCACCGAAGGTCACTCTTTCCCAGGGTCGGTCTTGCGTGTAGCCAGGTAGGGGAATAAACAAAGCACGACGGCAGGTTTGTATGTACAGGTGGCCCGGATTAGTAGGTCGACCCTGCCAGATCAAGGGTACCCTCGTGTCTTGTGTCTTGCGATCCATGCCCCCATGCCTCCTGCATTTCTGTGGCAACGTGGCCCCCGGGAGGGTCTTGTGTCCTCAAGCGTGCCCTCTCCAATCAAGTCCCACTGTATCTTCGGCCTCTGGGGGCAGTTTGCCGGCCCTCGGGGCCGTCAAAAAGCGATGCAGGATGAGAGCCCGGTCCCGCGGAATGGGTCGAGATGTCTGGGGTTCGGCGCTATTACAGGCCAGCCACAACTCGCGGAGCTGTGGTCCTTACCCCCCTGGGGGGCCCATCGATCTCGACACCCCTGTCGAGAGATCGTCGAGGCGATGGATTCCCCCAGGGGGTAAGGACCACAGCTCCCCCAGTTCTGGCTGGTCGGCTATTAACAAGTCATGACGTCGGGGGTCGAGGTCAGCCACGCTCAGAAGCGGGGTAGTTGAGGGGGTAAGGCTTCCTAGAAGCACCCGTGCTTCTTACAAGACTCGGACCCTTTATATATATATATATATATATATACATATATATATAGATGTAAGGCCAGCGCCTTCTAAGAAGCAGCCTCCTTCTAAGAAGCATCCCCCCATCCGCTTCACCCCTTGTGCAAGCCGCCAAAGAGGGGGGGTCCGTTTTGGCGAACGTAGCGCGCCAGACCTACGTGTTCTGCCTACGTGTTGGGCTCCGCGTCAGCACGCTACGGGCTACGCATTGCGTATCGGGGCAGCTTGGTTTTGGGAGTCTCTGGCCCGTCGGGTCCAGCGCCGCCGAATATCTTTCAAAATCGGTCCTTGGATCCCTCCAGGGATCCATCCGACGCGTCTTTCAGCCAGGACCGATTTTCTAAGGCCCTGGCGGGTCCCGAAGACGGCCTGCAGAGGCCGAAAGCGATGAGGAAGCGCTCCGATCCTCGAGCCTCGAAGCTCGGAGCCTGCACCTCGAACCCCTCGAGCCTCGAAGGTCGCCGCCGGCAGGCCACACGAGGAGCCGCGTGAGGGCACGCTGCCACCGCCCCCCCCGCGGTCGGCCGCCCCTCCGTCCACCCCGAGCCCCCCCCCCCCCCTGGCGCGGCGCGGCGCGGCGGGGGGGGCCTCTCGGCTTAAGTCGGGCTTGTCCCCCTACAGGGGGATTTTCGACGACCCAAACAAATATTCAAAAACAATTCATTAATAATGGTCAAAACATTTGCACAAAAAAAAGTCCCCCGACTATTTTTGGACTATTGTTGGATTATGCTTTGGGTATTTTTGATTTTTCGTCGAAAATCCCCCTGTAGGGGGACAGGCCCGACTTAACTCTCGGCCGCAGGCGCCGTGGAGGACGTGGTGCTCTGCGACCACAACCCGCAGGCGCCCCGCCTCCGTCGGGCCAGGGGGCGGCCAAGAGTCGGGGGTGGATAGACCTCGGGGGCGGAAAAGAAGGGAATGATGACTAGGGGGGGTGGATATCATGGCGTGGGCCATGATATCTCCCCAGATTTCATGGCGCCTCTTCTTATTTCATTACGTCCCTGGCCCCCCCGCTGGGCCGCGCACATGCCGCCGGTCATGATTTGCACCCCCCCCTCTTGGACACCCCCCTCTTGGCCGCTCCCGAAGACCTCCTATCCTGACAGTTTGATCAGTGAATCGGCCGATTTCGGTTCGCGGGAGGGCTTCGCGGCCGTCATTTCTGCGGCTCCAGGTCCGTCGGTGTCGGCCCCAGGCCGTTTTCACTGAAGGGAGGTTTACCAACGGGAGCTTTGTCCACCGCCGAACAGGGGGAGGGGGCCTGGTATCGCTCGGACGTGTGCATGCCTTGGCGAGGACCCTCGATCGAAGGAACAAAACACTATGAGCATAAACTTTTGGCGCTCCGCGCGCATTTCTTGGATCCGCGCTGGGGCCCCCTGGCGGCGCCTCCGGCGCAGATCCAAGAAGTCCGCGCGGAGCGCCAACAGATTATGTTCATGCCGTTTTGTCTTGTTCTAGTCGAGGAGCGTTCTGGATCATCCCGCGCGGCTACACGCACGGAGTCGAAAACTGCACGGGAGATGGGCGTCCGAGCGATGGTGGGGGGAGGAATATCAGAGGCGGCGAAGATCAGACAGATAAGATTGGTCTGATCGGATGGGACTTGGAGGAATGATCGGGTCTTCTGTGCTACCTTGTGTGCCGAAGGTTCTTATTTCATGGTCGTGCCCTGATTCTTCCCGATTCTTTCCTCCGAACACGAGAATGGTCTTTCTCGGAAGAGTTGGTCGGGGGCGGCCACGAAGAGGGCGACGACATCAGAGGCGAACAGGAGGAGGAGGCATGTGACTAGATGACCGTGGAGAGGTGACGGAGGAGGAGGAGGAGGAGGAGGAGGAGGCGGAGGAGGAGACTGGTCCGAGGAGAGGGTGATCCCCGACCGCAGCCCGCAGGCGCCACGCCCTCTTTCGTGGCTGGGTGTCGGCCCACTGGCCCCCCCCCTCGAGTCACGACAATCTTCGCGGCGGACGGTGTTTCGCTATTCACAGCCTCTGGCGGCCCTCCGGGGCCCTCCCTCCCTAACTCCCTCTCTCCCTCCTCCTCCTCCTCCTCCTCCTCCTCCTCACCTCCTCCTCCGCCTCCTCCTCGTCCTCCTCCTCCTCCTCCTCCTCCTCCTCCTCTGTCCGGCGGGGTCATGCAGGGCCACGTCGGTGGAGGAGGAGCAGGGCGAGAGGAAGCCCGATTTGTAGGAGTCCCTGAGCACCCCCTCGAGTCCTGGAAGAAACACGACCGCGCGGGGGGGTGAGGCCGTTTTGGCTTCTGGGATCCCATGCCGGGCCTCGGGACCGTCCAAGAACGACTGAGGATGAAAACCCGGTCCAGGGGAACGGGCCGAGACCTTTGGGGGTCGACGTAATGGGAAGGCAAGAGGGGAGCGATGACTCGGGCCCGACGGGCAAGGTTTGTGATCATATCCACTGCAGCCTGGAGTTTCGGGCTCCCTTCCGCAGAAGCCCGAGGCGCACTGGATATGGGCAAAAGTCTGGCCCCTGGAGGCCCGAATCTTGTCTTCCATATCTGGTGAGCCTCGGCCCTTTGGCGCCCCTGTCAACAAAGTCCAAGACGCATTGGATATGGAACCAAGCGTTGCCCGCAGATCGGGGAAGGCGGTGAATATCATTGCCGGGGCCTTGATATCTCCTCCCTCGCGTCTCGTGGCCGCCCTTCGTGTTCCAGTGCGTTCCCTGGCCCACCCTGCGCCAGCGCACGTGCCTCCGGCCATGCTTTGCGAACCCCCCTCTTGGACGCCGCCGATCGTGTGGTGGGGGGGGTACAGCACGAGGAGGAGGAGGAGGAGGAGGAGGAGGAGGCGGAGGAGGAGGAGGAGGAGGAGGAGGAGGAGGAGGCGGCGTGGTGAGGAGATGAGGAGAGGGGAAAGGGGAGGAGGGGAGGAGGAGGAGGAGGAGGAGGAGGAGGAGGAGGAGGAGGAGGGAGGAGGAGGAGGATGAGGAGAGGAGGGGAGGTGGAGCAGGAGGAGGAGGAGGGGGAGGAGTAGAGGAGGAGGAGGAGAGGAGGAGGAGGTGAGAAGGAGGAGGAGGAGAGGGTGGAGGTCCTTCGGGGCCGAAAGGGCTCCTCGGGTGCTGGGCCCCTTTGACTTCCGCGCCTCGGGCCCTGGGGTGCCGCGGGCCCCCTCGGGGGCCCGGCGGCTCCGGCTCAAAGGGGATCCGCGCGGTTTTTTCGGATCCGCGTTGGGGCCCCCCTGGCGGCGCGGGGGTCCGGCGCAGATCCAAGAAACCCGCGCGGAGCGCCAAATGTGTATGTCTATGGCATTGCTTCATTTTCTGAAGAGAGGCGAGTACGCGGAGGAAGGGGAGTGGGAGGGGGAGGAGGAGGAGGAGGAATATGACGAGCATGGGCAGGAATAGGGTAGTATCGACTATATGTTTGGAAAGATGGGATGGCGGAGGGTGACCAGGAGGCGCGTGATGAATGGGTGCATGCGGAGGGCTGGGATGACCAAGACGATGAGGAAGGTGAGGCGACAGAGGAGGCATACGAGAGGCACACGTGGAGGAAGACTGCAGACGAGAATGGGGAGGGCAGGCTAAATAGGCTAGTGATACAGTGTAGAATTGGATGGTTAGGAGCCAGGGGATGGTGATGAGCAGGAAAGTACGGTCCCAATGACCGTCGGAATCAGAGACAGGCGCCGTCGTACCCATGCTGTAAGTGATAGGCCTGGATGTTTGCAGTAGTGCGGTGTCGGCAGCTCAGCCCAGGATTCGTCGCTAGGGCCCCATGAGGGCCTTCAGGGCCACCTATAGGGTTCGGAAGCCCATCCGAAGCCAAGACGGCGTGCATCATACTATAAAATCATAGCAAAGTTGTAGTGGCTTACATCGGCTTTCAATTCAACGGCCTCTCGGGGAATCCTTGGGATACTTCAGGGCGTCCTCCGATCTGTTTATCTTGGGTCTTTCGCGTGGCATTTCGGGCCGTGCTGGAAGCTATCTCGGGCAGTATTGCGCCATACTGGAGGCAACATGCAGCTATCTCGGATCTGAAGGGGGTGCCTTGGAACAATGTTCGGCCGCAGCGAACGATACATTACCCGAGAACCCTCTGCTTCAGTCTTGCGGAGAGGGGATTTGGGTCAGTCCTTCCATGAAGGGATAGACATGAGTGTGTAAGAACAGTTGGCGCGGTTACTCTCCAACTCCCAGATGTCCTGTGGGATCGCGCCGATGGTGAGACATGCGAGTTTGCCAGAAAGTGTTGTGCAACTGGAGTGGCCCGTCGATCATCAGCATAAACAGGCGTAGCTTTCAGACCAAGTTGGGCCAACGGGCGTCGCCAGTATAAGGATTGCAAGCTGCGTAGCGGCATGCCATCGATGCCTTCAGGGGTCCTGCAGCGAGCTGTAAACGTGGCAGCCGCAAGCTTGGTCGGCTGCCAAAGTTTGCCCGCACAGACTCAGCATAAGCACGCGCCCTTCTCATTCTCCAGCGGCCCCTTCTCCTCATCGTCCGTCTGGATGCGTTCTGCTCGTCCCGGTCGCTCCACCTTCCGCTCGCGCTCACTCTCGTATGCGGCCCTCGATTTCTCGGGGTGACTTCCGAGGGGGGATATGGTTGGTTGGATGGGGTCCCCGCTCGAACGGGAGCCCCCCTCGGGGTCCAACAATTCGCACCCATACCTGAAGCGCCTTCACTGCCTTGTCCTGCCACATCCCTCCTCCCCATCGGCTTGAGTGTGTGATTTCACCACCCCACGTCGAGTTTTTTTTGTTTGTCCACGGCGTGGTTCCCATGGTGCGGGCAATGTCTATATCCACATCTAGCGTGTCTTGGAGTTTCGGGCTCTTCCCCAGAAGCATGAGGCGCACTGGATATGGATTGAAATCTGGCTCCCAAAGGCTCGATTCTTATCCATATCCAGTGCGCCTCGGCCTTGCGGCGCCCCTTCCGAGCAAGTCCAAGAACACGATGCCTCGACCAGCTCCCCAGGGCGGGTTTTTCATCCAGGTTCTCTCTCCGACGGCGCGGGTACCCTGCAAGGGCCCCCAAATGCCGACCACCCCCAACAACAACAACACCATTGGGGGGGGGGAGGGAAGGCGGGGTGCGCCTCGGCGCGGCCGCCGCGGGCGCCCTCGGGGCGGGCTGCCCAGCGCCGAGGCGGGCGCGCCAGCGCGCCCACTTCGCCGCGCGGCGTCGGAGCCTCGAGGGGCCCCGCGCCCTCGAGCCGCTGGCGCGGCGTCGCTCGGACGTGTGCACTGCTTCTCGGCGAGGACCATCCGGGAGCATCCTGGGTCACCCAGCGAACAAAAAACCAGCAGTCGCGAGACACCGAGACATGCACGGGGGAGGGGCGTCCGAGCGATGGCGAGCTGGGCGCCCCTCCTTCTCTCCACGCCCCCCCTCCGCGGCAGGCGTGGCCTCCCTCCCCTCCCGATCGGGCCCCGCCTGCTGCTGCTGCTGCTGCTGCTGCTGATGCTGCTGATGCTGCCGTCGTCTGCCGTCGGGCCTCGCACGGCCCGCGGCGCTCACTCTCCCCTCCTGCTTCCCCTCCTCCTCCTCCTCCTCCTCCTCCTCCTCCTCCAAGCGCCTCTGTCTTACGCACGACTGTTCGTTGGAATAGTCACCTCTCTCCTCCTCCTCCTCCTCCTCCCGTCCTCCTCCTCCTCCTCCACCCCCCTCTCCCCTCCCCCTCCTCCTCCTTCTCCACCTCCTCCTCCTCCTCCTCCTCCTCTTCTCCCTCTTCTCTTCTCTCTCTTCTCTTCTCTTCTCTCTCTTCTCTCTCATTCTCTTCTCTTCTCCTCTCTTCACTCTTCTATTATATTAATATTCCTCTTCTCTTCCTCTCTTCTCTTCTCTTCCATCTCTTCTCGTTCTCTTCCTTCGTCTCTCCACTCAGCATCCTCCTCCTCACTCCTCCCTCCACCTCCTCCTCCTCTCCCTTTCGTCCTCCTCCCCCTCCTCCTCCTGCTCCTGCTCGTTCCCTCCTCCTCCTCCTCCTCCCCCTCCTCCTGCTCCTGCTCGTCCTCCTCCTCCTCCTTCTCCTCCTCCTCCTCCTCGTCCTCCTCCTCCCCTCTCTCCTCTCCCCTCCTCCACGACGCTCGGTGGCGCCGCCGCGCGCGCCGCCGCCGCCCCCGCCGTCGCCGTCGAGCTCACCTCGAGGTGATACTCAGCCTCGGTGCAGACAACTGCGTGCGGCTCTGGTCCTGCGAGGCCGGGGGCCGCCCCTCCCGCGTCTCTCTCCCCTCGCATCCCCCTGCCGGCCTCGCTGTTCCTGGCCGTGCGGCCTCGGGCTGCGCACGGATGCCGCGAGCAGCTCCCCCCCCCCTGTCCTCATCGTGGTCGTCGTTTTCTCCTCCGCCTCCTCCGCCTCCTCCTCCTCCTCCTCCTCCTCCTCCTCCTCCTCCTCCTCCTCGTGGAGGCGACGAAGGTGTGGCCGCGCGGCCGTCGGGAGGAGGGGGGGGGAGGAGGAGGCCGGAGCAGGCGGGGCAGGAGCATCCGGAGGGGAAAGGGGGTAGCGGAGCAGGGCCAGCAGGAGCGGGTCGGCGTCGGAGAGGGTGGAGGATCAGGGGATTTTGGATTGCAGTCGTCACGAACCAGGATGGCTGTCACTGATGGGCGGCGCTGCAGCTAGCAGATGGTTCTAAAGCGCAGGCAGGCAAGCTGGCTGAACGACAAAGCTGAGACATCTGCACGGGCACCAAGAACGCAAGTACAGTACAGTACGATGGGACTCCTGCGACAGAGCGGACGGACCGCGTCGAACCGAAGCAAGGAGTCCAGACCTCCCAATCTTCCTTGCTGCATCCCCCACCCTTCAATATGGGCAACTGGACGGCAAACGCGAAAAAATGCGACAGTGGATCGCTGTGCCCGTCCAGGGCATTCGGGCGGAGGGGCGGAGGGAGGGAGCGAGAAAAAAGTACGTACAATCAGAGCGATGCCAAGCGGGAGGGAGGAAGGCTGGGACGCAGACCACATTCCCTACTCGAGGTTGCCGGAGACTGGCAACGACTAAGCTTGGCATATATGAGGCACGGCGGTACCCACGTGGAAATTCTATGCTTGGACAGGTGGGCGTCAAAGCGGCCGGCGGCAGAGGAGGATGATTGTTCTTCGCACCTACGCACGGCACTCCCTTCCGGATCCATCCTGACCCCCACCCTCAACAATAAGCAGTTTGGCCGGCAAACGCTAAAGGGGCTTGCTGCGACGGCCTGGGCACTGCGGAGGAAGGGCCGGGGGAGGAGGAATAAAAATAATCGAGGAGGAAAGGGTAAGGCTGGGACGCAGACCTGGCGCCTCCTCGCTCGGGAACAACTGGGCAAGATAGCGATGCTGCAGAAATATCGCTGAGCTCGCTCGCCGGCCCTCGACTGTCGCCTCTATCCATCGCCGGCCCTCCGCTACAACACTCCACTCTCGCCACACTCGTTCGCCAGCCCTCCTCTGCGAGACAAGCGGTGGATCCGGAGTCGAGCAACGCTCGCAAGAGTGCAAGGGCCGTGCAGAGAAACGTGACTTCAAGCTAGACGATGGAATAAGATGCTCGTTCATTCTGTCCAGGTGACCCGGCCACCTCGATCCAAAGCGGCGGCACGGTTGTTGGGACTTGCCAGGAGATTCTGGAAGGGGGCAGGATGGATGGAGGGAGGGGGCTAGGATCGAAGCAGGAGGCGAGGGAGAAGAAACAACACGTCTCAGCCCAGACTGCATACATGATTCTTTACGTCCCAAGCTCACTCCCGCTGCTCTCATACCTCGTCCTGAAGATGACAAATGCGACGTTGCAGGAGCCCTACACTACTCAATGCTCAGTCGCCTCACTCGGAGCCAGTCGGACCGTCTGGAAGAACATCCCCTATGGTCACAATCGGCACGAGGCACAATGTGTTACTTCATATGGACGCCTATGGCCGCATATGCGGCAACCATGGCGGCCCTGGCAGCTTCGGTGCCTTCTTGAGCAGCGATAGCGTCGCCGATCCTCCGGTTCCTCTCGTCATCGCGGGCCGCACTGGAGACAACAGGCTGCCCCAGGGGACAGCGGGCCTCGGGACAGCGCACGGCTTCGTCGTCCTGCCCAGCACCACCACCAGCGGCCTGGTCGCCGTTGCCGACGGGTGCCTCCAAGGATGGGGCTACAGCCAGCGCCGGTGGCGGGGCAGCCACAGCCTCCGGCAGCGCCGGTGGCGAGGCAGCTCGGTCCAGAGCCTCCGGAGGCGCAGAGCCATGAGCAGCGGCCCGAGCAGCATGCAGCCCATGGGCACGGTCCAGAACAAACCGCCGCCCGCGAACCGCATCATCATCATCAGCGGCCAGTGCTGGTGCCCGCGTCGGGGCCGCAGCCAGCGCCGGTGGCGGGGCGGCCTCCGTAGGCACCGGAGTCGAGGCAGCACGGTCCAGAGCCTCCGGAAGCGCAGCGGCAGTATCGGCAATCGAAAAGCTGCGCGGGTAGGCGAAATCGTCAGAATCGGCAGGGCTGTACCCGGAACTCGACGATGTGGTCGGCACGACCGCATCCGTTTATGGGGCGTGGGCCGGGGAGCAGCGGCTGCGCGACGGCTGGGCCACGCCGCGCGGCATGCCGTCGCCGTGCATCGGGCCTCGAGGGTCAAGACAGCGGCTGTGGCCTGAGCCCGCATGCCTACGGGGATGTGGGGGAGGGTGGACGAGTCGGGTTGGGGGGCGTAACGGCACCTCGCGATTTTGAGTTTTTCAGGTTTCTCTCTCTCTCTCTCGCTCTCTCTCTCTCTCTCTCCTCCCCTCTGTGGAGGACGCTCAGATTGATTCCCGTTGGTGTGAGTGGGTACACGTTGATTCCCTTTGTGGGGATTGCAAATGGATTGCCTGTGTCGGGGGCTAAACATGAATTGCAAGTCGATTCCATTTGTGGGGTTTACAAATATATTCCCTTCGTGCGAGGGGGTATGTCTTGACTCCTTTTGTGGCGGAGAAGGGGAGGGTCTGGCCCTGGGGGGACAGGTCCCAGCAAACAAAGAAGCAACGGCCCCCGGAATCCACTGGTCCAGTTTTTTTTCTTCGGGCGGCCCCGAACAAACAAATAAAATACGGGGCCCGTGCAGCAGAGGCGGCCGTTTTTTGCCAGGACCGTTCCCCCAGGGCCAGACCTTCCCCTCCTCCGCCACAGAGGGAATCAGTTAGCACCCTCTCGCACGAAGGGAATCAATGTGTAGCCCCCCCACAAAAAGGGAATCGAGTTGCAACTCCACCACAAAAGGAATCAATTCATAGCCCCCCACAATGGCAACCCATTTGTCTTCGCAAAGGGGAATCAATTTGGACCAGTGGATTCAGGGGGCCATCTTGCTTTGTTGTTGCTGGGACGAGACCCTCCCTTCCTCTTCCGCCACAAAAGGAATCAATGTGTACCTTCTCACACACATGTAATCGATGTGTAAACCCCGACGGAGGGAATCGACTTGAAATTCCGCCACAGAGGGGCTCAATGTGCAGCCCCCACAAAGGAAATCCATTTACATTCCCCACAAAGGGAATGAACTTGTACCCCCATCACACAAAAGGGAATGTTTTCGTATTCCCCCCCGCACCCCGCACAGAAAGGGAATCGATTTGAAATTCCGCCTCAAATGGGAATCTGTTTGTACCCCCCACAAAGGGAATCACTGTGTACCCCGGCACGGAAAATCAATTTGCATTCCCTCGCACATAGGGAATCTATGTGTGACCCCTACACACACGGGGACCCCAGAGAGGGAGACCTTCAATCATCTTAAGATCCTTCCTTTCCCCTCAGGATGGAGGAGGAGCAGGAGGAGGCGGAGGCGGAGAAGGAGCAGGAGGAGCTTCCCTTCCCATCCCCCCAGGAAGGAGGATGCGGAGGAGCAGGCTCATTCCCTTCCTTTTCCCCTGAGGATGAAGGAGGAGGTCCCCTTCCCTTCGCTCACCCTTAGGAAAAAGGAGGGGGATGTTCCTTCATCCCCCGCTCCTTCAGGGCGAGGAGGAGGAGGTGGTTCCTCCCCTTCCCTTTCCTTCAGAAGGAGGAGTAAGAGGAGGAGGAGGAGGTTGGAAAGGAGGTTCCTTCCCTTCCCTTTGCCCCAGGGGAGAAGAGGAGGAGGCCCCCCCCTGCCCCTTTCCATGAGAACGAGGAGGAAGAGGAGGAAGAGCAGGGTCATGCCCCGCCTTCCCCTCAGGAAGGAGGATGCTGATGAGGCCCCTCCCCTCCCCTTTCCCTCAGGAGGAGGATGGGGAGAAGAAGGAGGATAATCCTCCCCTTCTTTCCGTCGGGAAGAAAGAGGAGGAGGTTCCGTCCCCTTCCTTGTCCCCCAGGAAGGAGGATGAGGAGGCTCATTCGCTCCTTTTTCCTTCAGAGGGAGGAGACGATAGAGGAGGCTCATTCCTTTCATTTTTTCCCTGAGGAAGGAGGAGGAGGAAGACATTTCTTGCCTTCCCTTCCCTCAGTAAGAAGAAGGAGGAGGAGGAGGTCCCCTCCCTCCCCTTACTTCCAGGACGGACAAAGGGGGAGGCTCCCTCCTTGTCCTTTCTCTCATGAAGGAGAACGAATAGGAGGTTAATCCCCTGCCCTTTCCTTCAGGAAACAAGGGTGAGGTACCTTTCCTTCCCTTTCCCCCTTAGGAAAGGGCGGAGGATGTCCCTTCCTTCCCCTGCCCTTCAAGACAGAGGAGGAGGGGTGTCCTTCCTTTCCCTTCCCTTCCCTTCCCCCAGATGGAGGATGAGGGGGGCGGAGTTCCTTTCCTTCGCTTTCCCTCAGGGAAGACGAGGAGGAGGTTCCTTCCCTGCCCATTTCGATCAGAAGTAGGAGGAAGAGGAGGAGGAGCAGGGTCATTCCCTTCCTTTCCCTCAGGAAGGAGGAGGATGTCCCCTTTCCTTCCCTGCCCCCAAGGGAGGAGGAGGAGGAGGAGGAGGAGGAGGAGGAGGAGGAGGAGGAGGAGGTCCATTCCCTTCCCATTGCCTTCAGAAGGAGGAGGAGGAGGAGGAGGAGGAGGAGGAGGAGGCGAAGGAGGAGGAGGAGGAGGAGGACGAGGACGAGGAGGAGGAGGAGGAGGAGGAGGCGGCTCATTCCCTTCTGCTTCCCTCAGGAAGGCGAAGGAGGAGGAGGGCATTCCTTCTTTTCTTGTCCTTCAGGCAGAAGAAGAAGGAAGAAGTTCCCCCGCCCCTTGCCCCTCAGGACGGAGAAGGAGGAGGCCCCTTCCTGATCAGCCAGGGCCAGACACGCCGCGCGGGAGAGGGGGCGGATATGCTGGGTAAGAAAATCAGAGGAGGTCCTGCAGACACCCGCCAGGCGCGCTGGGCCCTGGAGGGATACACGCAAACCGAGTGATCCCCAGAGAGAGGGAGAGGGAGGAACTATATGGAAGGGAGAGAGAAAGAGAGAGAGAGAGAGAGAGAGAACAAAAACAAAAAACAAGATGCGCAAGCTTCACAAACGTTGGAGGGAGAAGGTTGTGGGCGGAGCCCCATGCATTGAAACGTGAAAAACTCGAAAACGCGAAGTGCCGGTGTGCCCCCCGGGACGAGTCAGGGGACGGGCTGGTGCCGCGGTTTTCGAGCTGCCTGGGAGGTCGTCGGCGCTGCGGCACTTCCTTTGGGCGCGGAGATGTTGTCATCCGCGCCGCTGGTGCAGCCCGCTGCTGCTGCTGCTGCCGTTGCGCTCGGCCGCGCGGCCGCCGAGCGCTGCTGCGCAGTCGAGCATGTGATTGAGACCCCCCCCCCCGGAAAGTTGCGCCAGTTTTTGTCCACCCCTTTTGCCCGAAAGTTGGCCCTTCTGCTTGCGCAGCGGTTCGCCCTTCCAGCGCTAACAGCATACATGCGCCCAAGCTTGCTTTAAGAAGCTTTGGGGAAGTTGGCCCAACCTTCTGAAGTGGTCAGTTTCTTGAGCAGAATTTCGCTTGCAGTGTGCGGCGTGCCTTGCTCTGGGCATCGCTCGGACGTGCGCAATCATCTCGGCGAGGACAATCCAGGAACATCAAGGATCACCTTACGAAACATGATCGCAGGAAACCGAACACACATGCACGGGCAAGGGACGTCCGAGCGATGGCAAGTGCTGCGCGGTGGAAGTCCGGAACACACCTCGTCCTCTTCGATGTCTTTCGACCCTTCTCCTCCTCCTCGTCCTCCTCCTCCTTCTCCTCCTCGTCCTCCTGCTCGTCCTCCTCCTCCTCCTCCTCGCCCTCGTCGATCCTCTTCGATCTCCCTCGACCCTCCTCCTCCTCGTCCTCCTCGTCGACCTCGTCGACCCTCCTCGATCTCCCTCGGCCCTCCTCCTTCTCAGCGATCCTCGAGCCCCGCAGGGTCCCGGGGGAGGAAAAGGATGAGGTGGACGAGGAGGAGGAGGAGGAAGAGGAGGAGGAGGAGGAGGAGGAAGAGGAGGACGAGGAGGAGGAGGAGGAGGAGGAGGAGGAGGAGGACAAAACCCGTGGCAGGACGGGGGCCCGCTGGGCGCGCTGGAGCAGGGCCTGCCGGACGGCCTGGCCTACGAGCCGGGGGCCCCGTGGCTGTTCCCCGTGGACGCGCGCAAGCAGGCCGCGGGCCACCGCCACCGCCCGCCCCGAGGACGACGACGACGACGACGACGACGACGACGACGACGACGACGACGACCGCCGCGGCGGCGGCGGCGGAGGCGGCGACGTTGGGGAGGCCAAGGACGCCGACGACGATGACGACGCTGACCGTCGTCATCGTTGTTGTTGTCCGTCGACGGCGTCGTCGTCGTCCGTCGTCCGTTGTCCGTCGTCCGTCGTCGTCGTCGTCGTCGTCGTCGTCGTCGTCGTCGTCGTCGATGTCGTCTCCGAGGGCCTGGAAGGGCAGCCAGACGCCTTGAGGGGCCTCAGGAGACCTCCTGAGACCTCAGGAGACCTCCAGACACCTTCAAATGCTTCCGTCGTCGTCGCCGTCGCCGTCGCCGTCGTCGTCGCCGTCGTCGTCGCCGTCGCCGTCGTCGTCGTCGTCCGTCGCCGTCGCCGTCGTCGTCGTCGTCCTCGTGTTGTTCTCGTCTTCGTCCTCGGCCAACCCCACCCCCTCCCCCCTCCCCTACTGGACCTCCTCCTCACCCCCTTCCCTCGGTGGGGGTGAGAGTAAGACTGTGTGGCGTGCGCTGTTCTCCCACACGGGCCAGTCCCTTTTTTCGCGCGGCACCTTATGACGTGAGCTTGTTCGCGGGCGCGGTTGTGGCGCGCACCACCACCATCGTGATCACCACCAACAAGCTCATCAGAAGCATCTTCCACGTGCGCCCCCTCATCATCACCACCATCAGCATCGGAATGACCATCAACAACACGCTCCTCATCTTCTGCCGCTTGCTGCTTGTCATCAATCGCCTACTCATCGGCATAACCACCATCATCATACATGCGACTCCCTTTTGCCAACACCCTTCACAAGTTGACGATGTGAACCAGAAGCGGCAGGGAGCAGGAGAATGCTACAGTGGAGAGACACGACGAGGAGGACCAGGATGCAAAGAAGTAAGACATCTGTGAGGGACGGATTTTGGCACAGATTCCTAAACGTCGGAGGCGGAGGGAGGAGAGATGAACAGTGGAACGGAGGGGGCCCGTACAATGAAACATACTAAGACGCTTCCATCATTGAAAACAAGAAGAACCCATCAACATCGGAAAAATGTGGAATCGGCAAGCAGAAACCTATACACTGAACGACACCAAGAAATCCGTACACTCAAACATAATAAGAGCACGTTTTGCGTCCACGATTTTTGTGATGGTACCGGGAAAAGCCACATAAACAACAAACATCTGAGGGCACCACCACAACAGAACAGTCATCATTGGTTTTCTAGATTTTGGATTTCTTGCAGGATTCTCCAGCCCAGATCCGCCCAGGCAGCCTGAAGGCTCGACGACCACAGAACGCGATCAATACGAATACGTGGTTGGTTCACGAGACTTGCCATGGCACCACGGCAACACAACAACAATATAACAGCAGCAACAACAACTATGTGAGGGCACTTCAAAAGAACTCGATTGTTTTCGGTACGTCAGGCTGCCTGGGCGGAACTGCGCTGGAGAGGCTTGGAGAAAGCCCCAAGGCCAGAACCTCATTAGGGTTTGGTTCCTGTGAACCCTCACAGGGTTGTTAACACTCTCACAGGGTTTGTAGATCAGAGATGTTCTCATGCGTTCGTATGGTTTTTGAGTGTAGATGATTTTTTCTTCTCAGAGGAGAAGGGCGATGAGGAGGAGGAGGACGAGGGTGAACATGAGGAGAAGGATGAGGATACTAAGGAAGAGGATGATACGGCTGACGATGTCGATGATGTTGATTACCATAGTGATGGTGAGGATTGTGATGATGATGCTTGTGGTGATGATCATGATATTGCTGATGATGATAATGATGATTGTGGTGATGATGATGATGATGATGATGATGCTGATGATGATGCTGATGATGATGTCGATGATGATGCTGATGATGATGATGATGATGATGATGATGATGCTGATAATGATGATGCTGATGCTGATGCTGATGGTGATGCTGATGCTGATATGGTGATGGTGGTGATGGTGGTGGTGATGATGACGGTGATGATGATGGTGATGATGGTGGTGATGGTGAGGAGGGTGATTGATGATGACGATGATGGGACAACATCACGCCACATAGTCTTAAATCTCACCTTTACCCCCTCCTTGCTGCTGCTCTGCCTGTCATCTCCCTTCTCCCTATCTCTCTCTCTCTTTTCCCTCCTCCCTCTCTTCTTCCCCCCCTCCCTCATCCTTCTCCTCCTCCCCCCTCCCTCCTCCTCCACTTCGCCCTCCCTTCTCCCTCCTCCCTCCTCCCCGCTCTTCTCCCGACTCAATCCTGCCCGTCCCCATCTCCCTGTTGCGCCTCCATTTCCTCCTCCCCCTCACCCTCTCCATCGACATCGCCCACCCCTGCCTCGGGCACAGGTGCCCTCCCCATGCTCAACGTTGGTTTCCTCCCAATTCGTATCCTTTCTCCCTCTTCAGCAGCATTCGCCCTCATACTCCTCATGCTCCTCCCCTTTCCCCGCCCACAGTTCCTGCATACGTGTCGTCATCCCTCGTCTTCCTCCTGCTATGGCTTCTGAGCCTATTGGGTTCGTCATCCTTCCTCTTTGTCAGCGTCCTCCTTCCCTCGTCATCTTCCTTCACATCCTCGACCTCCCTCTTTTCATTGTTGGTCCTACCCCTCATCCGCCTCGTTTTCGTCGTGTTCTTCCTCTGCCCCCCCCCTATTCTCGCCCCTGTCTCCATCCTTGCCCCCTTCACCCTCCTACTCTCCTCGTCCACTCCCTCCCTCCCTCCTCGTTGTCCGACTCCTTCATCCTCGTCGCCCTCCTCGTTTCTCCTCCCCCTTTCCTGCTCATCCTCCACCTTCTACCTCCTCCTGTGCCCCATCCCCCTTCCCCATCCCCCCTCCTGCCGTAGCCAGACTGGCCCCACGCCGTGCAGCGCTGCGCGGCAAGCGCCCCTCACTGCCTCGACCGGCGGGGACAGGGCAGGCCGTGCCGACCAGGAAGCGACGCTTGGGCCGGAGCCGAGGCCCAGCCTTGGGGAGGAGGGAGGAGGAGGAGGAGGAAAACGCTTCGCGAATGGGGAGGGGGAGGAGGAGGAGGAGGAGGAGGAGGAGGAGGAGGAGGAGGAGGAGAGAGGAGGAGGAGGAGGAGGAGGAGGAGGAGGAGGAGGAGGAGGATGGTGGAGTGGAGGAAGGAGGGAGGGAAGGGAGTAAGACAAACGCCCGCTGCCATCATAGCATGCACTCGACCGGCAACGGCGCAGGGGCCGGGCGGCCGAGACGCCCAGAGCCGTGCGCCGCGCGGCGGTCCGCGCGCAGCAAGGCGGTAAGTATCGACTCCGCGACGCAGGGTCAGGCAGAAGCGGCCTCTTCGGCGATCGGCCACTCGTCTCGCGCGAAACTCGCGCTATGTCAAGCGCCCTACGGTCATCCTCGCGGGCAGCTTCTCGCTCGCTCTGATCTCAGCGGCCGTATTCGCTGGCCGGCACGCGTCGCACCGCACCGACCCCCTCATAGACGGCGTGGGGGCATTCCGCAGGCAGGCCAGCGGGCACCCCGCCCCCGCGCTCATCTTCGCGCGGCGTCTCGCCTCACCGCCGCGGCGCGCGCGTGCAGCGCAAGCAGTGGCGGAGCGACCTGGCTGGCCTGTGGGGCCACCGGAGATCGGGCCGAACGAAGGGGGGGGGGGACCGACGCGGGGTCCTCGCCAGGGGTTGCGGTGGACGACAGACACATCGCATCGTCATTTCTCTCATGATGTTGTCCCTCAACCGCACGTGGGCTGCAGGCGTGGACGGAGGAGCAAGAGAGGCAGGCTGCCGAATCGTCCGCACGAGCACCTTGTGCCGAAGCTGGCGCGGCTGCCCTGCCCGCGGGCGAGCGCGGGCCTCCTCCCTCCGCCAGTTCTCGCGCCCCGCCGTGGCCTCGCACGCTTCTTGCACGTACGCCGCGCCGCCGAGCCCTTGGGCTCACCGTCGCCATCGCCACACGAGGCCCCCGCGATTTCACCGCGCATCGGCCACGTCATTATAGGGGCGCCGGCGGGCGGCGGCCGCCTCGGGCCGAGCGGAGGGGGGGGGGGTAGGGAAACGGGGGGGGGTGCGAAGGCTGCCGCGTGCAGCTGGTTTCGGCCCCGCCGCCGGGCCCATTCCTCGATGCATGGGCCAGTGGGCGCCTCCCGGCGCCGGGAGGCGCCGGGAGAATCAGTTGCGTGAGCTGATCCTCAGACCCCCCCTTTGCGATCCCCCCCTTCCGCCAATGTTGTAAGACTCGCGTGTGGGCCACCGCGGCATGTTCCAGGGGCTCCCCGTGGTTCCCACGAAAGTGGTCCTTGGACCACTTCTGGCCGAACATCTTCCCCCGCCCCGACGTGATGCACCGCCGCGTGATAGCGCTGGGCCTGCCTCCTGCTCCGCCTCGTCCCTCCCTTCCCCCCTCCCCCTATCCTTCCGCCTCCTCCTCCTCCTCCTCCTCCTCGTCCTCCTCCCCCTCCTCCTCCTCCCCCTCCTCCCTCCATCTCCTCCACCCCTTCCCCATCATGCCCAACCCCTCTTGCCCCTCAAACCCCCTTCTCCCTTTTCTCCCACCCCCGTTCACCTTTCCCCTTGGTCATCCCTTGCCCTCCTCTTCCTGCTTTCCTTTTTTTTTTTTTCCTTCGGTCACCGTGGCCCGGCGCAGGGGGGCACCCAGCCTTTTGCACGCAACGTCGGCGACCGCGCTCCCCGCCCTGTCACTCCATTCCCGTCACTTCCCGTTGCCCCGCTCCTGCCCCTGTCTTCTCGCATCGCTTGCGCCGTGCGCCCCCGCAGCTGCAGGAGCAGGCGACGGGCCCATGGAGCCGAGTAGGAGGGATGGGGATCAATTCGGTTGCTTGTCTCATCCTGCCAGCGTGGGTGTGAACCTCTTCGGCCTTCCTTCCTCTTCTCTTAAGCCGCCGCCCAGCCTCCACAGGCCCTCCCATGGTGCAGACGTCCCCCGCCCAGGGCCGGTGCCCACTGAGACCCTGGCTCCCACAACGGACGGAGGTTTGAAGTAAGCCCCCCCCTGTCCCCCAGGGGCCAGCTACTCCATGCCCGACGCTCCCCTGGGCTCCTCGGAGATCGGTTCCGCTTGCGGCGGATATGTGAGTGGTCGTTGGCCTAGTGTTCCGGCCGATCTCGACCAGATTGGGGATGCTGAGGTCCGCGCTTCTTGAGGAACGGGCGAGGTTGGGCCACATTTGGGGGTCCCGTCCCCAGACCCTCGCGCCCCCTGTCCCGCCCCTGCACGTCGAGAGAATGTACGCCCGCTCGCAGCTCCAATGCTTCGGGCCTCGCACTACCCGGCGGCGCCCAAGGGGCTGGCGGGATTGCTTCTCTCTCGGTCCCCCGAGTTCCCCTCGGTGCGCGTGCGAAGTTCTGCGCAGTGGAGACCCATGCCAAGAAACACCCTGCTCGCCTCCAGGGTGCCCTGGGTTTCTTGGGTTGCGATGGTTTTGCGACGGGTAGCGAGACGCTCCCGCACCAAAAATCAATGGACGTCCTGGGGTCTCAGGGTTAGGTTTCTTGTGGACGGTTTCTTGTGGTCGAGCCCCTACTGTAGCCATGCGCTGGCCCAGAGTCCAAGCTCCTCCTCCTCCTCCCTCCTCCCCCGCTCCTCCTCCTCCTCCTCCTCCTCCTCCTCCTCCTCCTCCTCCTCCTCTTCCTCCTCCTCCTCCTCCTCCTCCTCCTCCTCCTCCTCCTCCTCCCACCCCTCCCTCCCTCCTCCTCCTCCTCTCCTCCTCCTCCTCCTCCTCCTCCTCCTCCTCCCATTCCTCCTCCCATTCCTCCTCCTCCTCATCTCCTCCTCCTCCTCCTTCTCCTCCGCCTTCTCCTCCTCCCTCTTTCACGCCCCCCCCATGCATCCGGAGGTGCAGGACGACGAGGAGAGCATCGCCCTCGCCTCGCAAGTCAGGGCCGAGCCAGCGGAGGGCGAGCCAGACGAGGCCGAGGCATCTCGCCGCGCCCGCGCGGCGGCGCGCCGCGCCGCTGGCCCTGCCGCTGGCCCTGCCGCTCCCCCGCCCCCTCCTAGAAGGGTTCCCAGATGTCGTGGCGCCAAGATCGCAGAGCGGATCTCGTTCGGGAAACGATGGGATGGGCCCGGAGTGTCCCGGAGAACGTCTTTGCGGATGTCGAGGTGGATGTCGTGCGGATAGATCTTGCGGCCAGGAATGAAGTTTCAAAAGAACCCACACGAAATTCACTTCGTTTTTCGCTCGCCGCTTCGGGCAAAATCCACGCAGAAATCCGCTGCAGCACGTATGCAAGGCCGGTGCAATGACAGATGGCGTGAGCGCGGGGGGCCGGGAGGAGGCAGTCAAGCGTTGGCGAAGCGTCTTGGCTCGCCTATAGGCCTACCAAACAATGTTCTAAGACGCACCTTTTGTGGTGAGCGCGAAGTGTTCTGAGAACACTTCTGGCTGAGACTGTCTTGTTTTAACAGAATCGGGCCTATGTTCTAAGAACAGCGTTTTTTCCTTGAAGCAGTTCTGGGCTCTACGAGGTCGTTTTCTCTAAACCACGTTTTACTAAAGGGAGGTCTGTCCATCCCCGAAGGGGGTCCTCCTCCTCCTCCTCCTCCTCCTCCTCCTCCTCCTGCTCCTCCTTCCCCCCTTCAACTTCTGGTGGTGGTGGTGGTGCCCCGCCCGCCCCCCTCTTCTTGGCGATGCCCCGCCCGCCCGCCTGCCCCCCGCCCAGGCGGCAGCGCCCGCCGCGGACGCCGTCGGCGAGCAGGTCCGCATCGGCACCGCCGGGGCGTCGTCCTCCCGGCCGGCCGCTCGGTCCACAGGGGGGGGCGCGGCCACGAGTCGTGGCCGGGCGAGAGGGGGAGCTGCCGGGGCTCGTTTCGATGCCTCGGGTTCGATGCGATTCGACCTTGATTGAAGGGGCCCTGGGACACAAATAGATACACACTTCCCATATGTTCCCATATGTCCCCCCCCACTTCCCATAGTTTCCCATATTTTCTGGGGAATCGACGATTACTTGTGTCTGTGTGTTTTTTCCCCTCCTGATCGATGGCTTCCGAGTCCGATCCAGTGCGACCTTCCGATGGTTCCCTGGAGGAATACTGGCCTGCCGATGTCCGCCGATTCGATTTTTCCGGGCTCGGCTGCCCAGGCTCGCCGATCCGAATTGTTCCGATCGCCGAACCGATGTACCGATTCGATCTTGGGCTCTCTTGAGCTTCCTCCTCCTCCTCCGCCTCCTCCTGCTCCTCCGGACTCCTCCTACCTCTGGGCGGGCACGAGGTCCGTGCGCTCGGTCGCGCCCGCAGTAGTAGGGCTGGAGACCGAGTGTAGTTGCCCACGCAGGCCACTCAGGGACCAACGGTTTGTTGCTGCTCTGTGGCGCAGGGACTCGGCCCCCCAGGGTGGGTCTGGTCTGATCTGATCCTCCTACCTCTGGGGCGGGACGGCGGCCACAAGTCGGGTCGGGCGAAAGGGGGGATGGGTCCTGTTCCTCCTCCTGCTCCTCCTACCTCCTCCTTGCTCCTCCTCCTCCTTCTTCTTCTCCTCTTTCTCACTCCTCCTAACTCCTCCTGCTGCTCCTCCTGCTGCTCCTCCTGCTCCTCCTGCTCCTTGCTGTCCACGCCTGGCCACGCCCCCTGGCCAGGGGGGCCCTGGGCGCCGTGCACAGGGGGCATGGCACACGGGGGCACACGAAAGTGCCCGTGCCCCCCTTGGAGCGGTGCCCCCCTTTACGGAGCCCCGGCCTGCCCGCCCCCCTTTCCGCCCGTCTGGGTCACCCGCGGGGGGGCACGAAGCGAGTCGCGCGCCGCGCGCCGCGGTCTGGACCGGAGCGGCGGTCCCTCTCCAGGAGGGGCCCGAGGCGAGGGCGCGAGCGCGCGGCGAGCATCGCGCAGCGCGGAGCGCGAGGCTCGAAGCTGGGCGACGCAGGTCCGTCCATCCACCCCCCGCTCTTGTGGAGGAGGAGGAGGGTGGAGGAGGAGGAGGAGATGGAGGAGACGGAGGAGGAGGAGGAGGAGGAGGAGGAGGAGGAGGAGGAGGACGAGGAGGAGGAGGGGGAGGGGGAGGAGGAGGAGGAGGAGGAGGAGAGGAGGAGGAGGAGGAGGAGGAGGAGGCGGAGGCGGCGGCGGCGGCGGCGGCGAACGAGGGGGGAGAGTGAGAAAGAGGAGGCCTTATCTCTGAAGGGGGCGGGGCTCCTCGGGGGTGTCCTCCGGCCTTCTGCTCGGTGTTGTTCTGTGCCTCCGGGGAGGGCTTAGAATTAAGTCGGGCCTGTCCCCCTACAGGGGGATTTTCGACGAAAGGTAAAAAAGTACTTCCGAAAATACTCCCAAAGGTTCACAAATACTAAAAAATAGTCCCCAGACTATTTTTGGATTTGTTTTTACTTAGTTTTTTTTTTTTTTATTTTTCGTCGAAAATCCCCCTGTACGGGGACAGGCCCGACTTAAGTGTTGTTCTGTGCCTCCGGGGAGGGCTTAGAAGACTCCTCAGAAGGGCGGAGGATTTCCCAGCCTTTCTGAGAATTCGGGTGCAACTCCTGGGAGGTCAAATTCTGACTTTGCCCTGGTCCGAGATCGGGCTGAATCTGGCGTTATCCTGTTTGAGCCGGCTGGATCCAGATAGATGCGGCTGAATCCCGCTTAATCCGCGGCCTAATCCGGCGTAGTAGCCCCCCAAACTCTCAGTATAGTCGAAGAAAAAATGATATAAACATAAATGTTTGGCGCTCCGCGCAGATTTCTTGGATCCGCGCTGGCCCCCCCCAGCGCCGCCTCCGGCCCCGCCCCTGGCGCGCTCCGCGCGCCGGGGAGGGGGTCCAGCGCAGACCCAAGAAACACGCGAGTTTATTATCATGCCGTTTCTGTGTCTGTTTCTTATCATTACTATTCTTAATGTGTTTCTTATTGTTATTATTTTTATTATTAGTATGATTGTTGTTATTTAGGTATTCGCCTTATCATTGTTATTATCATGTTTCGCCTTCTGCTTCTTTCTTATTATTCTTCTTCTTACTATTATCAGTATCAATTGTATTATGATTATTCTTATTATCAGTCGTATGATTATGATTAGTAGTATTAGTATAATTCGTATTAGTGTTCTATGTAGTTGCCTCCTAATGAGAAGGCCTGCCCCCCTCTCGCTTCCGCCCCCCGAACGCGCCGCCGCACCTCGGCACGCGGGCTGCCCCGAGGCTGGCGGGCTCTGGGAGGCCGAGCACCGGCGACGTCGTGGCGCTGCGGTCCTCGCCCGACTTGCGGCTCCACTCGCGGTCGCCGCTGGAGTCGGAGCGCGCCGGGGGGGCTTGGGGCTCGGGGGAGGAGGAGGAGGAGGAGGAGGAAGAGGAGGAGGAGGAGGAGGAGGAGGAGGAGGAGGAGGAGGCGGAGGAGGAGGAGGAGGAGGAAGAGGTACCCAGATCTCTGCCCTTCGCCCGTGTTCCCCTCGCTCGGCCTCCCGGGAGGCCCTCGTCGCCGCCGCCGGGTTCGCCTCGGAGTCCTGATCAGAGCGCGCCCCGGGAGAGGTCTGGGGAGTAGCGGTATGGGTGCCTTTTTGGTTTCCCCAGAGGAAGAGGCGCCGATGCCGCTACAGTGCGGTCGCGGCCGCAAGAAGACCTCGCAAGAGACCCCATCCCGAAAGCCCGTGCGCGAGGTGCATTTGAGGGGAAAAACCCAGGGCACCCCGAACGCAGCATCTTCTTCCACGGCGAGGGGAAGTCACCGCGCAGCTCGCGGAGCGAAGAAGCCCAGGATGCCTTGACGACAAGCGCATCGTTCCTTGATGCGCGCCCCCACTGCACTCGAGGAAGACAAAAAACTGAAAAAGTACAAACTTTTGGAGGTCCGCGCGGGTTTCTCGGGTCAGCGGCGCCCCTTTTCGGCGGCGCCTCCGGCGTCGCCCCTGGCGCGCGGGGGCTCTGGCGCCGATCCACGAAAGCCGCGCGCGCGGACCTTTCAGAGCTCAAGTGGGCGCGTTTTTGCTTTTGTTTCTAGCTACAGGGCGACGGCGATATATATATATATATATATATATATATGTATATGTGTACATATATGTATATATATATATGTATGTATGTATGTATGTATGTATGTATGTATGTATACATGCATGCATGTATGTATGTATGTATGTATGTATGCATGCATGCATGCATGCATGCATGCATGCATGCATGCATGTATGTATGTATGTATGTATGGATGGATGGATGGATGGATGCATGCATGCATGCATGCATGCATGTATGTATGTATGTATGTATGTATGTATGTATGTATGTATGTATGTATGTATGTGTGTGTATGTATGTATGTATGCATGCATGCATGCATGTATGTATGTATGTATGAATGAATGAATGAATGAATGTATGTATGTATGTATGTATGTATGTATGTATGTATGTATGTATGTGTATCCACTGCTCCCTGGCCAGGCCCATCTTGAAGCCAGCAGCGGTGTATGCGTTACTCCCGCCTGGCCAAGCCGGGAGGGCGTATGCACAGCTCCTGGGTTCAGGATGGGCTTGGTCTGAGAGCAGCGGATACTTGCGCGCCCCTCGTCGCCACGGCTGGACTCGCCCCCGAGTCCTGGTCAGAACGCGCCCCGAGTGAGAGGCGTTCGGGCGAGTGTCCCGCCGCCCCGCCGCGGCGCCAGGCGCACGCGAGGAGGAGGAGGAGGAGGAGGAGGAGGATCAAAGACCGCATGCACGTCATAATCGAGAACCTGACCGTCATAATCAGCGACGACCCATACGAGCGCGAGCACGCGATGTCCAATATACACACCCACGAGGCGATCTTCCACCTCTGCGACGAGATGCTCGAACTGACCGACCCAGCAGAAGCCGACAGAGACTCGAGCACCGACGACCTCCGCATCAAGGCCTACGTGGACGGTGCTATCAACAGCTACTGCAGGTCCAGCGAGCTGCGGGACGCACACCGTTTCTACGTCAACTTCTGCTTGGCTAACGTGCTGACCTAATTACCCGAAGAACCGCAGTGACGACGACATGCATGACCAAGCACTTCTGCGACATCATAAGAGACAGAGATATCCTTACGGGTATCCAGGTATTTACATGACACACCCCACGTGCACGCCGACACCATTTCTCGCACCGACCTACAGGAAGAAATCACAATCGAGGCAATTGTCAAGGTGGCCGAGCTCATCACCACTCACACTTGCCTGAGAGTGAGGCACAGAGCCAGCAGAACCGACTGCCGATACCAGACCCACCGACTGTATGCGACCTACTGCCACCTGCCGACCTTAACTCGGACACCTGGACCAGCAGTCATCGATTTCAGGACCGAGTGCAGTCGAGCAGACCAACAAGGCCAACTTGTGACAGCCCAAGTGGAGCACGGCCCCGACGGGCAGAACGGTAGCTAGCAGCACCGCCGACCACCAAGCACCACACCAGACGCAGCAGCATGTGATCGGCGATACCAGCATGGCTGCAACTGTGCGCAACATGATCACGGACCACAACACCGAAGGGGACGCTCCCCACACCAGCGAACGCAAGTCAGCAACGACACCGCCCGCAGACGGACACCCCAGCGTCATCCACCAGGGCGAACAGCAAGTGACGGACAAGAAGGCTCTTCCACTCTACGGCCCCGACCCGTGGAGACCATGGCCGACCGACGCAGACGGCGTCCAAGGTGATCAACCAGACCAGCACGACCCACCTACCGGAATCAGACGACTTCCTCCTGATCGCCAACAAGACGAGGCAATCTTCGCGATCGGACCGGCCTCACGGCGGCCGATCAGTGCGCCACTTCCTTGTACAGTGCATTTGCTTCATGCAGGCAGGACCGCCATCTGCCACACACCCACTCCTACCTCTCAAATATCCCTGTTAGCCGATACGTACGCATTCACCGTGAAGATGGAAACAGCACAGCTGGTGGTATGGGAGCCAACTGTCGTTTTTGGCAACTCTACAGAGTGAACATCAGTGGCGACTGCGTTCAGCGTGGGTCCCCACGGCTTTCTCACCCACTCGAACTCAGACAATTGTTGCAAGAAACCCGTGGGTCCCCGAGGGGCTCCATCACCCACGGCGTAAGAGGACTCCACCAACCTCCAATGCCCACCCTACCGGCTCACCTTCTTGCAGCCCTCACTCCCCCCGTTGGTTCCATCTAATTTTCGCCTACCCCGCCTCTCGTTTTGGGGCATGGGTTGGGTATGTATGTGAGCGGGAGGGGGCTGGGACTCACCGCGGGCCGCCCTGGCAACGGACAGGGCGGCCGCGGCCACAACTGGCCATTAGGGCAGCGTCCATCAGGGCAGCGACCCAACCTCTGCCGCCAGGACTCTACCCCCACTGTTTCGTCAGTTTCTCATCCCCACCTCGAACCTCCACTGTCAGATCCCAGCAGCTGCGGTCCCTGACAGCCTGCTGCGCTATGGGACGGGGTTGCGGATGCGCGCTTGGGGTGGGAAGGATCAGCAAACCGCGCACCCGCGCCACCGCCACAGATGGCAGAAACCACACCCACGCACGGTGGAAACGCCCCCGTGATCCGGGTACCCTACTGCTGCCTCGGCGGGGGAGGGTACCAGTCATGAGGATGGTGGCTGCTGGGGGGGGGCGCTTCCTGTATGCAGGGGGTGAGGCCCTTCTGCCACCCACCTTGGCGAGACTGGCCGGCGCTGCCTCGCGCCACCATTGGGGGGAGGGCTCAAACTCGGATATAGCAAGGACCCCAGGTAAGAGGACCCGGTTAGTGGTAGGGCCCCGGGGCCCCTAAATTAGCCAGAATCACTAAACCAGGTCTGCCGTAGCTGGTGTTTTTCGGGTGACGGCAGTTCCGGCTAGTGGAATGGGGCGGGGGGGCGTCCCCCAGTACACATCACTAAACCAGGTCCCACTAAACCCAGTTCTGCCAACGCCCGACAAACCTCCCTCGCGCTCGGTGGAAGCCCCCAGGGCCAAGAGGCCGACGAGCTGGGAGCTCGCCGCCTGCTTACGGGCTGAGGTATCCCGCCGTCGGCCTCTGCGGGCACCTGCGGGGGCCTCCTGTGGGCAGAAGGGGGAAGCCCGGGGGCCTCTTTCCCGCCGCGGGCGGCACCCCGCAGAGGGCCCCGCGCTCCTGCTGCCTCCAGCTTGTAGCACCCTGCCTCGGCACCTCCGCGGACCTCCCGCTCTCTGTGCCAGCACCTCCGCTCGTCTACCGTTGGCGTCTTTTCCCGCTTCCCCTGTGTAGCTCTAGCTCTGCCGACGAGTTTCGCTCGCCTTGTTGCCACCACCTCGCTGCCAGGACAGCGAGTCGCTCCCTCGTGTCCTCTGCATGACAAGGCACCCCTCCAGGGGGGGGGGCATGGGGCACCCTCCAGGGCGGCGGCCTAGTGGGGCCTCGTGGCCCAAAAGAGGGGGGACCCACGCAAGGCCCGGACGGGGCTCCAACCAGAGAGCCACAAACCGCCCACGCTGCTACTTTGCCACAGCCTCCCGTTTCGTGTCCCTTCCTCTTGGGGGTGTGAGTTGATGTGATGATGACATGTCCTCTCGTTCTTCCTTCCCTCCTGTCCTGCTGGACCTCGGCCCCAGATTGCACGTTTAAGTCAACACCCCCATGAGGGGGCCAGACCAGGCCTCCATGGGGGGGGGGCGGGGGCGATCGGAGACCTCCATTGCCGTCAGTGTCTCGGTGTCTCCGGAGGAGGAGGAGGAGGAGGAGGAGGAGGAGGAGGAGGAGAGAGGATGAGGAGGAGGAGGGTGCAGGAGGAGGAGGAGGAAGAGCAGCAGGCAGGAGCAACATCTGCCACACACCCACTCCTACCTCTCAAATATCCCTGTTAGCCGATACGTACGCATTCACCGTGAAGATGGAAACAGCACAGCTGGTGGTATGGGAGCCAACTGTCGTTTTTGGCAACTCTACAGAGTGAACATCAGTGGCGACTGCGTTCAGCGTGGGTCCCCACGGCTTTCTCACCCACTCGAACTCAGACAATTGTTGCAAGAAACCCGTGGGTCCCCGAGGGGCTCCATCACCCACGGCGTAAGAGGACTCCACCAACCTCCAATGCCCACCCTACCGGCTCACCTTCTTGCAGCCCTCACTCCCCCCGTTGGTTCCATCTAATTTTCGCCTACCCCGCCTCTCGTTTTGGGGCATGGGTTGGGTATGTATGTGAGCGGGAGGGGGCTGGGACTCACCGCGGGCCGCCCTGGCAACGGACAGGGCGGCCGCGGCCACAACTGGCCATTAGGGCAGCGTCCATCAGGGCAGCGACCCAACCTCTGCCGCCAGGACTCTAC